GTTGTTGCAGGACTGGCCGCCCTCCGTGCGGGCCGGCGCGCCCCGCTGCGGGCTGTGCGGGAGGCCGCTGGCGCACCTGGTGCAGGTGTACTGCCCGCTGGAGGGGTCCCCCTTCCACCGCCTCGCCAACGTCTTCGCCTGTGCCGGGAGGAGCTGCTGGGGCGCGCCCCGCAGGTGAGGGCGGGCTGGGGGCACACCTGGGCGGGCAGCCTCGGAAAGGCCCTTTGGCTGGGCTGCTTCGTGCCTTACCTGTCATTTTTGTTTCTTCCATACGGCGCGGTAAAGCTGGAAGGTGCTGCGCTCCCAGTATTTGCAGACGCAAGAAAAGGCAGCAGAAGATCACAGTGTAAAACAGGTATAACTAGCAAGCTGCCTTCTTGGGTTCTGTAGTAACTGTACTTCAGGTAACTACCTAAGCTGGCTGCCAGTGGTCAAGCCGGCAGCCAGGGTGTGGCAACATGATGTACAAATACCATTCAAAATGTCAGTGAATTCTTCTTGTTCTGTTTCTCAGTGTCAGGTGTTTTTTGCCATAACTCCTCTGCTGTGTAAAGTAGACGTGGGTGTGCTGGTAACTAGTGCTGTGAGGAAAATAGGTGAAATAACACTAAGCATTAGGCTGAAGTTTCCGTTTTCTTACATGTTATTAAACTGTATTTGAAGTACGTGAGGGTGACTGATCTTGACAATATTGTCCTTCCTTTTTTTGTTCTTTTTGTACTTCTCAGAAACAAGCACCAAACTTTGCTGCAAAGGACTGGTGTGATGAAGCAGATGACTGGGAAGCCTGTGATGGAGCAGAATATCCAGGATGTGTCTCCCTTCAGCTGCTTGGCTTAAATGAAGCGGGGAGCAGCTCCTTGTCCAGAGAGGTGGAGTGTGCGTCCCAGTTCCAACAGCTTCATTTGTCAGAACCTATGGATGGGTCAGATTTCCTGAATACACATCCTCCAGTCAGCGAGGGAATGGGAATGGCATCGTCTGATTCAGCTCCTGTGTTCCAGCCCTTTTACATTAGTGTTGTGGATGAGGATGACTACACTGGTTTCCATGATACAGATCATGCAGATAAGCTGTTGAAGGAGTATCAGCAGAGAGAGGGGGTTGATTTGCAACAGTTGATGTCAGAAAGGTGAGAACAGGTCTGGATTTCATGTTGAAACTGAAGGAATTACATAATTTCCTGTATGGTGACTGATAATCTAAGTCTGATTCTTGCTAAATGTGAATGTTTTTCGTTTGTAACATGGTCCTGCAGGAGTCATTGGTGTGTAGTACTTTGCTGGGAGAACTTAGCAATGCACCCAGTTCTGTCAAATTTTGAGTTATTCACAGATTAATCTACTTCTGAGTGACTGAACAGTTGGAATGTCCTTGGGCTCCAGATAGAGCACTGAATTGTCAGTCTCTGAAACCAAAGCAGTGGGGTTTACACATCTGATGACAAATGGCATGAGTTTATATTGTGACATGTGACTTTATTTTTCTTTTCAAGGCCAAAGCTTTTCTTGTATCCTGATTGCATTTTAGTTACTTAAAATTTTTTGCTAGGCTGGGATGACTGGAAGATTCCCAAAGATTTTGTAAAGATTGTCTGAAAAAAAAATTTTTGAATATAGTTACTGAAAATATTTTTAGTATTAGCTAAGGTGATCACAGTGAGCACTTATATCCAGACCATCTATCTTTCAATTATATTAATGCATACAGTGAACTTTCCTGAATTGTGGACAACATTTAACTTTCTTTGATAACTAAAGCTACTGTCAGTTGCAGAATCTGCATAGAATGCTGTTTAGTAGTTGTGTTCCTGTTGAGTTTTGTTGGCCTTTATAGAATTATGGAAGTTTAACAAAATAATTATTTAATAACTAGAAAAAAATTTGCAAAGTTAATAAAGGAATTTTTTTTTTTAAGGAGTAAGCAGGTATCTGGTGTATTTGAATCTCATGTGGTAGTTTGAAACACTGTTAGTAACTGTAAAGCACCAGAAACTGAAGAACTCAAAGCAAAATACTCACTTGCAACCTCTAACAGGAGTTGCCTCTTAATTTAAAATGTATAGTGTTTTTTCAAGATATTTAGAATAATCTAATGGGAATGTGTAGCAACCATTGCCTATTTAAAGCATGTGTATCATCCTGAAAAACTCATTGGAAATATTGTTTATTTTCTTTTTTCTTACAGTTTTGCAGGCGAAGGTGATAATGAAAAATATGAGAAGAGTGAAATCAAAAGCATGGACCACACATTCCATAAATTTATGAAAAGAATATCTGTGTGTCATGAACAGATTCTAAGGTATGCTGGTATCTGGTTGTAACAGGGAGGTTCAGAGCCTGTACATGGATTGTTAGTACATCAAAATAATCAAAATTTCCTTGGAAATAGAGGTGTAATTTTGTTTCTTAGCCAAAAAAAATGCTAAGAGAGCTGTTTGACCTGTGTTGTCAAACTTCAGTCCCTGGCTGGGCTTTTTAAGTAGATGAAAAGCAAAGCAGATCTGGCTATGGGAGAATTTCTTCAACACAAGACCTGATTAGTATAGAGCCAGATTGTCACTGAAGACTTTCTGAAATCCAGGCATAGAGGGTTTTTTCAAAAGACAGTTTTGAGATGGAAATATAATACCCAGTGGTTGGCTGTTGTGATAGATTTCTGAGTCTGTCTCTCTTCTGAAATTTTGTAACCTAAGTCTAATTGTTTATGTCTCAATACTTGAGATGTGACTCAAGTAAGAAATTACAGTCTTTGATCTTGGTTTCCTGTTATTTGTGGAGCTACAATAGCTTTTACAATAAAGCATCAGTTCTGTGGTGTAACTATAGTGGTTCTGAGGCCTGTTCTGTGTTGAATATCTTTAATTGCCACTAGCTAGGATTCCATGTTTCAGGAAAGTGTAGTTTGTTTAATTAAATGGGTCAGGTATGGCACATTTTGGGGGTGTCAGTTCAAAGCGTTTTTCTCCTTGAAATCTAGCTCTTTCCTTAAGACTTTCCAAGTGTTGACCTTTCAAGTGTTTCCTGCTCTCCATCTTCATTCTTTAATGGCTCATCTGAAGCTTGGGCAATTATTCTGCCCATTATGGTGTTTTTTATTCAAGCAAGTTCAGAAGTTTCAGAGAATCCTGAATGCTGCTGCCAACAGGTGCGTTTTCTGATGAGATTTAGATTTTAAAAAAATAATTATTTTTTTCATTTCTTCTCTTAGATACTCTTGGGGTGGCCAGCCTTTATTCATAACATGTCCTCCAGCCAACATTAACCAAGGTATTCCAGCCTGCAGTAACTGTGGAAGCAAGAGAGTATTTGAATTTCAGCTCATGCCTGCGCTGGTCAGCATGCTCCAGAGTGATTCAGGTGTTGACCTTTGTCTTAGCTGAATGAATAGTAGAAACAGTCACCTTCTTGGTAAACTTTAATGTACTGGTATTTTCATTGGCTTTTGCTAACCACAATTAATTACAGTGATCATCTTGTATAGAATCCACTGTTTTCATTATAGATTTCACTAAGCAAAAGATATAACTCTAGTTTATGGACACTATGATTGCAACTTTGTTTGCTCACTATTGAACTTTAAGAACAGCAATGTACATAACTCCATGACCTTGGGAGTAATTTTTCCTTATTGCCTCTTAAACGATGTTTTGTAAAATAATAAATACTGTCAGATAAGAGTGGAGGCACTTAAGAAGCTCTTGAAAATTCTGCATCAGCTTGCTTTAAAATATTTCAAATTAGAAAATGCCATGTACATAGGAGACTGAGTATGAACAGTACTTCCTGAATTGGCCAAGTTTGAAGTAGAGCAGTAAGCAGTAGCCCCTGATTATGTCATTTTTCATACCTTTATGTACCTCTATTGTTTTCTTTTTAGATTTGTCAGTGGAATTTGGAACTGTTATAGTTTACACATGTGAGAGGAGCTGTTGGCCAGCAAATCATCAAACCCCACTTGAAGAATTTATTTTTGTACAAGAAGATCCCGATCAGAGATTATTTAAATAAATTGTATTTCTCTGCATAGATGAAAGGTCTGTTGTTTTTGTTTTTTTTTTACTGGAGTTGACAGTGTGCAACAGAATGAAAAATTAAATTTATTTGATGCTTATTTTCAGGAATAACTGATTGAAGTATGTGTTAGCATGCCTCTGAAATGTGGCAACAGAAAACTGGCATGATTTGGCTATACATGGAAATTTAAGTGTAGTGATTGTTTCTTGATTCTAGTTACAGTTAACGTTTGGGAAGGAAAGTAAAGGAGAAGAGTGGTCTTCTTGCAGCTAGTGACACTTAGCATCATCATCAGCCAAACAGGATCCAGTTTTTAGGAACTGTTAGAAGTGAAAAATTTAATGTAAGATTTATTTTAAAACCCAACAAATCTGCTTTGTTTGACCATAGATTGGAAATTCAGTGAGCAGTGCCTGAAAGAACCTTGCTGTCACTACAGTTTTCCTATGATGAAGCTTGTCTATATGCTTTCCCAATGAAAGATGTTACATTTGCATGGTTAAATGAGCTCTGACAGTCCCATTGGTTTGGATGGAGAACAAGTGGAGGTTTCTGTTGGCTCTTCCAGGAACAGAATGGGGAGGCAGGTACAGCAGCTGGAGCCTTGGTGCTGGCAGAGTACTTGTGCTGCTTCAGTTAAAACAGGTTAAATCCTTCTGTGGAGTTCCCTGGTGGTTTAGGCTAAATTGCAGTGGTTTAATTTACATAATGGAGGAGTAATTTAAGTAAATGTCCTTAAAGCTTTTTGTACAGGTTTAATGCTGCAGCAGAAATTAGTGCACTAAAAGTGTGTGTTTAAGTAAAATGTTGGAATATGTTTTCAAAACTACTTTTTTTTTTTTTTTAAGAAAGAATTGTATCTCACCGTGTCAGCTTCTAGAGGTGAGTCGGTTGACTGAGTGAAACATTATGTAAACTCTTGTGTGAGGCCTGGAACCCACTGCAGCTTCTCCCCTGTGGGGCTCAGCCTGCCCTTCCCCAGCTGTGGCAGGGAGTCCAGACTGCAGTGTGTGAGCCGCACGGGTGCCTGCAGCGGCCAGGTGAGGGCCGCTCTTGCCGTCAGGCGGTGCCCCCAGTCCGCGGGCACCCCGGTGCGGGACGGCCCCCGGGCCGGCGGGAGCGGGACTCGAACCGGCGGTTCGGAGCGCCCAGGCCCCGCCTTCCTAGGCGGTACGCGGGCCGGGGCCCTCCCCACCGGCAGGG